GAAGGGGCAAGGCAGAATATGCCAACATCAACTGGGATGAACTTAGATTTTCATTGACTCCAACTGATTACATGTATGTAATGAACTGTTTTAAAGAAGAAAATTTCTCCAAAGGATTTCTTGCGCCATTCGGAAGCATCGAGCTCAGCCCCTCATCCGGAGTCTTAAACTATGGACAGGTGATGAACAAATTTCCTTGTATCAATATATAATTCAATAGAAGAAGTACTACTGCTTCAGTCCAAATTTACATAAAAATGATGATTTTGTAGGGATTAATTGAGGGGCTAAAGGCATACAGGAAGGAAAATGACCAAGGAATTCTGCTCTTTCGTCCAGAACTGAATGCACTAAGGATGAAGATGGGTGCAGATAGGATGTGCATGCCATCACCAACAATTGAGCAGTTTGTCAATGCTGTCAAGGAAACAGTGATTGCAAACAAGCGATGGGTATGTACTAAACTAATTAATCCACAAGCGTACACCAGGTCTTGCATCCTTGAGTTCTAAAGAATAGTGTGTTATGAATTGCGAGTTGAGCAGATACCCCCTCCAGGGAAAGGAGCATTATACGTTAGGCCTTTACTCATGGGAACAGGACCGAGCCTGGGAGTCGCGCCAGCGCCTGAGTATACTTTCTTGGCATATTCTTCTCCAGTGGGAAAATATTTCAAGGTTTGATTTGCGACGATTATATACATACACTCTAACATCAAAAAAGATACAAACTTGAAATCTCTTAAAACCTTAACCAGTCATTTTACCAGTGAACCAAACTCTTATTAATAATATCTAATGTTTGTCTTTGTGAATAGGTTCCTATGAACTTGCTTGTTGAAGATAATCTATTTAGAGCTGTTCCTGGTGGAACTGGAGGCATCAAATCCATAACCAACTATTCACCAGTAATTAAGCAAAGTTTTTTTTTTTTTTTTTTTTTTTTTTGTGCTCTATGGGTTGGTTTTATTTGATTTTGCTTCGTGTTTTAATTTTTAAATAAACTTGTAGATCTACAAGGCAATGAGTAAAGCAAAAACCAAAGGGTTCTCGGATATCCTGTTCCTGGATGCAGCAACTGGAAAAAACATTGAGGAGGCTTCCGCATCCAATATCTTCCTTGTAAAGGTAAGATTAGAAATTTAGAATCAAATTAAATGTTGCACGTTAATAGAAGCAACGTATCATATGATCATACTTTGAGCTCGCTTTTATGTAATCTTTTTCTAGGGAAATTCCATCATAACTCCGGCTGCTAATGGTACTATTCTCCCTGGAATTACAAGGAAAAGCATCATTGAAATGGCAATGAATTTTGGTTACCAGGTCGAGGAAAGTCCCGTTTCATTGGAAGAAATGCTGGGGGCTGAGGAGGTTTTCTGCACGGGAACTGCAATGGTGGTTAATTCTGTTGCTAGTATAACTTATCGGAATAAGAGGATGGAATACAAAACAGGGGAGGAGACGGTGGCTGAGAAATTGTATGCAATGTTAACAGGGGTTCAGACTGGCCGCATTGAGGACAAGATGGGCTGGACAGTGGAAATCAATACATAATTGCTTAGAGTAAGATCTGAACTTGAAAAAAATATAAATAAAACGTTATCTTTGCCCGGATATACTAATTAATTCTACATTTGCAGAGTCAAGCCAAAACTGCTTTCAATGTCATTGTATGTTTGATATTTTATTATGGAGAGCGGAAAATGATAGAGGGAAAGGGACTAATAGTCCCTCGCTATTTGCCCCTTTTCTTTCTTATCTTCTTTCGCCGTTTCATAGCTGTATCCTTTTCCTTTTCTCTTTTCCTCTATCCACCTTGATGATATTGCCAGCCACCAAGTCCCAGCTGCTAGGGTTTAATTTTTAACGGCTGCCATGTTTGATTTCGGTTCAAGTTGATCCTCAGGCGAGTAGAAGAAGGACTACCTTTAATTGTTGTAGCTTTTTAAAAAGAGTTATTAGTTATGAACTCTAATAAGATAAATTAAAATGTTTAGTTTATAAATGATAATAACTAATAAATATAATTACATTTAAAAAATTATTCTAAACACTCTTCTTTTGAAATGTATCTCTTCAGTTATTTTTATGTAGAAAATTTAAGTACATTAACTCAGAGATTTATTATGTATTGACTTGATGGTCTGTTATTAATTACTTAAAAATTTAAAATTTAAAAATTTTTAATTTAAATTTAAAAATAGATAAAGAGAAATTAATAACATATTTAGTTCTAAAAAAAAGGAGTGAAAGATTTTTTTATGAATTAAATTATAACATTAATATAATCTGTAGATTAATTCTATCTTAGATGAATTTAAATTAATGAAATGAATTCTTCATCAAATGAATTTAAACAGGAATTGTTTACTTCTATATTGTTGGCATCCCAGATCTAAAATTAATGTTAATACAAACGGCACTACGGCAGCGCAGTAGCAGGTCAAGGTGGCATCATTAACATTTTTCCTTGCAAGTGTCTCACTCTTTCCCTGACATCAATGCAGAACCCTGCTGAAGCTACTCCTCACAGGGATGTATAATCCACAATTATTTCTTTTGAATGACATCATGCACGTGCTTTTGTATTTTTTTAATAATAAAAACATACACACAATTTGAGATAACAAATGAAAAATTTTAATATAATAATAGGGATTTTTTAATTTATATTTTTAGGGTGTAAGTTAAATATTTTTTTATTATAAAATTATATAAAAATATAAAAATTGATATTAATTTTAATATTAAGTAAATTTAATTAGATAATTAATAAATTAAAAATTAAATTTTATTTTTAATATAAGTTTATTATAAAAAATATGTTTTAATTTATATTTTCAAGACACAAATTAAAAGAGTTTATAATAATATTATAATTTTAATTTTAATTATTATTAAAATATTAAAATATTAAATACACTTAATAACTGACTTAATAACTTGATTTAAAAGAATTAAATGCACATGTAAAAATCAGTAGGGGCCGTGATCCTATCTATTCCTTTGAAAAACTTTAAAATTTGTTCATAAATTATTTTAAGATTTAATTCTTAATTTTTATTTTATTCACCTTATTTTCTTAATTTTTACAAAAACAATTATTATTAGTCTTTTTCATAAATCTTATTCGTAAATTCATACTAAATATTAATATAATATTAATGAGTCTTTAAATTAATTTATTATATATAAAAGAATTTTCTTTTAATTTCTAATATTTTATTCTAAAAAATTGACAGAAAGAAACGTTTTAGACCTTTAACATTTCTCCTCCCTATCCACCCTCATGCTCTGTTTTCTTGAAAAAACCCCAGGTTGTTATAACTTATAGAGTATAAAATTAGAATAATGATACACGAGACAATTTTGGGGACGAAATCACGGTACGACAAGTAAAGCAGTCTCAACAGTAATTATCAATTTAACCCTGCTTCACTTGTTGTCCCGTGATTTCGTCCCTCAAAATCGTCCCGCATATCATTACTCATAAAATTAACATGAAATATTTAATTAAATTTACAATAATTTATTCTTTTATAATGTTAAAGATTAAAATTTTATCCTAACTTTAAAATTTTTTATAGAATCAAATATGTTCATTTTATTTTGTCATTTACTATACAAATTTTTAATATGCTTTTGAGGTAGCTATAATAATTTTTTAGTTAGTTTTTATTTTACTTTTTTTTTTTCAAATACAACTAGGTAAACACTATTCAGTAAAAATATCAAGGTAACAATATATTATATTCTATATTTGAAAGGCATAACTTAAGGATGCATTTAATGTATTATTTAGTTATTAAATTATATTAAAAAATAAAGTTTGATTTTTATTTTAACAATTAATCAATTAAATTAATACAAGTGACACTTATGTTAAAATTAATATCAACTTTTTAAATTTTTTTATATAACTTAATGACTAAAAAATATATTAATTATATTTTTTAACCTATATCCCAATAACACATATTAAAAAAATTCATTTTATATTAAGCATAGCCTAGTTTACCATTCGTCCATTACTCTTACCTTTTCAATTTTAAAATAATAAATAATTATTTCAGATGTAAGTTTAATCAACTATTCACAAACTTGATTCCGCCTCATTTTAAAACCTAGCTCCTTTACTGGGTGCAGTGGTTTCACTAACAAGTTGACTAGTCCTCCAAGTAATTATAAAATAATAAATAAAATATTTTTTTTTATGTTGATTGCACAACGAAAAATAAACCTCTCACATCCCTTTATTTCACCCTACTCGTATACTATGCGATTCGAATTTAAAATCTCTTATTTTCAATATAAGTGCGATGGTTTTACTAACAAGTTGAATAATCCTTCAAGTAATAAAGTAATAAATAGAATATATATATATTTTTTATGTTGATTACACATCGAGAGACAAATTTTTTACATCCCTTTATCTCATCCCACCCATATGCTATGCGACTCGAATTTAGGATCTCTTACTTTCAGTAGAAAAACATTATCACTGAGTAACTTAGGTCATCGACAGTAATAACTAGGATATTGTTTCCATTAAAATTGTGATTTACTAAGTATTGAAAAGTGACAAATCTTATAATTATTTGAACGAATAAAAAGGGAAGATTTTTTTAATAAAAACTAATTAAAAGAAAAGAAAATTTAAAATAAAATTCACTAACATTTGAGATACTAAAGTATACAATGTTACCATAACCAATTAACATTAGATTTTACATTATTATGCTTTCATGATATTTATTAATCAGGTGACAATAGGATTTCCTATTATATTTTATATATTTTTTAAGTTATATCAAATATATCTTTACCAATTAATTTATTATATCTCTATATGAATTTAAATAGATAAAAATGTATTATCATCTATAAAATTTCCTAGTTTATATAAAAACTTTTGAGTTCACTTATCATTAATATTGTACAAATCACGTTATTTCATTTCTAATTTTTATTAAATTTATAGTATATATTATTAAAAAGTATTGCATAAAATTTTCTTAGTTTCAATTATGCCCTCTACGTTAATTTGATGGTAATCAGCATAAAAAAACGTGAAAACAATAATATATATTCATTATAAAATAACAATTCCAAAAGAATAAAAGCTATAAAGGTTTATATCAAATTGATTATGTTGTAGCCTTAAGTAGCTAATTTAATTCATAATTAAAAATAGAAAATTAACATTTGAGTTATGGACACAAGATAAAATTAAGGAAAAATAACCAACAGTACCAAACAACATGTAAAAATAATTAAGGAAAAATAAAATAAAATTTGGAGAAGTTTAGATCTCAAATCTTGTTTTGTCCTAGCCTTGATCCTGCATTGTTGTTGAATGTTTTATTGCCTCATTTTTTTTTTTTTATAGTCTCCGAGTGTGTTATAAAAGGGTTAAAAAAACTTTCAAAGAGCTCCTAAAAAAACTCTGCTAAAAGCTTTCCCTCTAAAGCTGGGTTTGAATGGTATTTACAAAAGTTTAGAAAATTTAATTGGAGAGACATGGAAACACATGAAAATAATAAAAGTTTTGGGACTGT